TTATTTTGCTTATAAATGGAAAGGAGGAGAAGCCAAAAAAGCCTTCTGGTAAACTGCCATTGCGCCTCACTATCATAGAAGCATATAGCAATTAAATTTGAAAATGTTTGGTCTGTGGTTTGTTGCGCTGCTATTTGTGTTGCTGTTTTACACAACGCCTTTAGCCACAATGTTATCTGTGTGTGTATGTGTGTCAGTTCGCTTCCATGTGTGTGAATATGTTTTTTTTTTGGGCCAAATGCAAGCCTCATTTCCGTTTCCATTCCTGACACCTGCCCTAACCACAGCAGCAGAACCAAAAAACCAGTCACAGTCAACAGCACAAACAACAGCAACAACAACGACAAAGAAACCACACATTAGGCAACATTGTGGTCGTTGTTTTCGGAAGGTCTGGTCTCTGTCATTGGCTGATTTACGCGCTTCTGAGCTTTAATCTCATTTGGGAATATGCTTGCGCGCAATGCCCAAATTTATGCCGTGATTTATTTTATTGTGCGCTGCTGCTGCTGCTTTATTTATGACTTTTACTTGTTTAAACGATTGTGTGTTGTTCATTCAAAAAGTTACTGTTTAAGTCAGTTGCCAATTAAGTCCCGAAAATGAAAGTGAAATTTAGCAATTTTTGGATTTGCACTCCTTAGGGAAACAACTGTAACTCCTTTTTTTGTTTGTTTATTGATTTGCAACATTTTGAATAGATGAGTGAGTGGGGTCAGGGTCTGTGCTTATCTTTGGTGTTATACTGCCCTACATACACATACATATAGTACATAAAAAAAGCGTACACATACATACATACATAGTATACATAGTATTCTATGGCCTTAGCCTTTTGCAGCGCCTACACATGGGCAAGAATTTTGCTTAAAACCATGCACCTTTTCTTCTTGGCTCGGCCAATTGCATACACACACAGAAGCACACACACACACACACACATAGACATCTACATTTACATTTACATTTTATGTACATGTGTGCTGCTTAAACTTGCCAAAAGCCTGCCCATATATTTTCATCTTTTCAATTTGCAGCTTCATTCATTCATAATGAGCTAAGGCCTGAGCAAGTGCTGCCGTTAGCTTTTCTGGTTCTCCACATATGCATGCACATACACGTCTGTATATGTATGTGAGTATATATATCTCGTTGATTTTGTCATGCGTGCGTGTGTGTGTGTAAGTGTGGTATTCGTTTTCATTGCGCTTCAGTTTGCTGACATAGCTTTCTACTTAGGCAGTGAAAACGCTTTGTCTTTTTATTGCCTTTACAATGCTGTTGATGTTGTTGCTGCCACTACTGTCAACGCATTTTCTCTTGCTGTTGTTGCTGTTGTTGCTGCTGCCGAAGCCACTTTACACACGTGACCGCACTTGATGCCCAAAATTAAATTAGAGCTCACTAATTTTAGTTTCCATCTGTAAAACGTTTGCATTTTTAACATCCCTCTCTCTCAGTGGTAAGTGATTAATTTTTCACGTTGCAGCACAAGCTAAAGATGTAAGAAATAATAGAAAACTATACTTAATTAGCGACCTATGATAGAAAGATCCCCTAATACTTGGGGGCCAAATGAAAAATGAAAAAATGTAATGGATGTTAGCTTTCAGGTTCCAAGGCTTCTATGGTGCTAGAATATTTATTTTTCTCTTAAAATCAGACCACGTTGGTGATTACTTTAAATAGTTGAAAGGGAAAATAAAATTCCCCTAACATGTCAGGGGTATTATTATTGTATACATCTAATATTTTCAGTTTGTTAGATTATACAAGTAAGGGTACATTCAGTTTTTCAGCCTTTTTGAAAACGTTGACAGCTTAAGCCAACTCTGTGAATTCAATAAAGTTAAGGATGTTAGCTTTAAGGTTAGGAAGCTTGTTTTATAATATATGTTTTGTTACAATCAGGCCAGATTGCTGGTAACTTTAAATATTTGGAAGTGAAAATAAAATTCCCCTAACATGTCAGAGGTATTATTTAATGTTATTTCCATTTTGTTCGATTTTTTAAAGGCATACTCAATGTTTGCTGGTCTTCTTTAAACCTTGACTCTGTCAACTCGTGAAAAATAATTGCTTTTTAAAGCACGAACTAAACTAAACTAACTAAACAAGGAACATTTTGGCCCGCTTCAGTGCCAAGTACTGACAAACACTCGACTACTAGAGTAGGCAGCTGGAAAAACTTGCCAGAAAACCGTGTGGAGACAACAGATAAATTCAGAGCAGCCAGATTCCATTGACTGTCAAACCACAAACTTGGTATGTGGGCCCATCCAGTTGGTTATTTTTGTGATATCCTTCGAAATACTGTCTAAAATTCTGAAACACGCACCGTCAAGCTGCCACAGCGCGATATTTATTTTCTTTTTTCATAACAGCTGAAATTTTTGCTTCGTTACAAGGAATTTTATGGTTGAGCCCCAAAAAGTTTAACATTCCCGCTTGCTTCTATAAAAAAAAGTCGGATGTAAGTAAGAATGCTTTATCAATAAGTACTTACAAGTAATAGTTTCTTTTTGCAAATGATTCGTCCTCGATGGCAGCCTTTTTGCTTCGATTTAATTTAAAAAGCAAAGCATTTAACAGAACATTTACTAATTCAAGTTTATTTTAGATTAAGCATTCTACAAATACTTCATATAGGAATAAATTTTGTATATTAGCGTGTCTAATCGCAAACGTGTTTTCTGTGGCATTCTCATCTCTAAAACCATCTACCATGTGACACACACACACACTTACAAAAACACACACACACATACAAATACACATACACACACACACACACAATGCAGCCATAGATTTCGTTCATGTTACGACCTCAGCAGCGTGGCCAAGTACTTTAGTATTTTATTCCATTTGCTGCTGCTCGGTACATTTTTCGTGGCCTTTTGCAAAAGTTGAATCGGCTCGACGGCCATATAGTCGTATATAGTCGCCTCCTGCTCCCATACTCTCCGCGTGACTGTGCTGGGTCCTCTCATCTGGGCCATTCTTGAAATTACAGTGCATAAATTTTGTTGCAATGGCAGCCACAATATCAAAAAACTTTCATTTTATAGTTTTATGCTTCTTTCGCTGCTGCCACGGCTCGCTTTTGAACTTGGCCAAGTTGACTTTCATTTCATTTTGCATAAAATTTCAAATGCTGCTTGTTTTGCCCAAGGAAGGAACAGCAAGAACGAAAAAAATGTTTGAGCAAATTTGTTGTTTGTTTGTTTGTTTGTTTAGTTGCTTGCCTGCTTGCTTGTTGTTGCCATACGAACTCACTTACTTGGTATTTTCTATTGAAAAGTTATGCGTGTGTCTCTGTGTTGGTTCGCAATTTCAAATACAAAGCCCAAAGCTGCCAATTGAGGCATTTTATGGACTTTATTCCATTTTCAGTTTTTAGCACAAGAGGTCCAAACTACGAGTAAATCCAAAATAAGTCGCAGCTTACACCGAAAATACCGAGTAAATATGTTTTTAAAAAACTGTTTATGTAATGGTATATATATACTATATATATAATATACCCGTGTATGTAAATACATGGGCCACATGTAGATTGGAGCCTTGTTAAGGCATATTTATTTGTTTTGCTGCAGGCTACAAAATGCTATTTAAACTATTCAAATTTTAAATGAACGCAAATGCAAATTCTATTTACTTAAAAATATTATTGATAGCTTAGTAGGCATGAGCCAAAGCTAATAAAATTTTATTGGCTCTTTATTCAGTTAACTTTAAAAGAGCTTATCAAATGTCATTTGCCGTGTTAGTATTTTAAATGAAAATTCTGAATATTTTTGCCAGTCAGTTCAAAAGTATAAATGGCTATAAAATCTATTTTACGAGTATGCCAATAAATTGAATTCAAAATTGAACAGTTATTGCTTTAGTTATTATAATTAGGTTTTTAATTGCAATATATAGTTTATTTTCTCAGCATGCAAAACTATATTTAAATAAAAAGCGCTTCTACATAGCGGGGTCGAGTTCGACAAATTAAATGGATTCTTCAAGATGCCATCGGTGTAGAATTCAATGATAGGCGGGAAAACTAGGGGGCTCCTCTTTTAAGTTCTAGAAAAGTATTCAGCGACGTGGGCACACGGAACTCCTTCTTTTTATGAAATAAATAAGCTTTTTTTAAACAAAAATATAATCTTAAGGAAGTTTTTCAAGTAACTTGCCAACTTGGTGAGGGATAATGTTCCAAACTTTGTATATCTATGGCTAGATTACATATGTATATATATATATATATATATGTACATATATTTGAGTCGTTTGAATTATCAGCTACTAGTTAGTTATTTTTCACAAATGCTCCAAATGAAAATCAATATAGAAAGAATATCCTTTAACGAAATGCTGACCTATTTTGTTTGTTTGTGTGCCTTCGTGTTAATGTTATACAAGTATTATGGATGCAAAGAGTATCTGATTAAATGCTCGTTTGCTTAATACCTTACTTCAATAACCGTCAACGCCGCTATGTTCATAATACAAATGCTAATTTGTAAAAGCTTAGAAGCCATTTAAGCCCATTGTGCGCCCAAATCTTCTCTTCTTGAACCCCATTGTGTGAGTTCATGAATGTGAGTGTGTACGAGTATGTATGTTAAACTGATGGGCAAGATAATTAGAAATTCCAATGTATTTGTCTTTAATTTTTGCATGCCTAACAGCACAGCCCAAAAGCAGACAAAGGTATACCCAAAATATCTGGTCCTTCTCTCTCCTTCTCCCTCTCCGACTTCCTCTCGCATTCACTTGTAAGCCAAATGTGCGTTGTAAAGTTAAGTTCTATGTGTTTGCCGGTGCTCTAGTGTGTGTTCAAATTAATTATGCATGCCAAGCGACCTCAGCCATAAACCTCAAGCATAATGACGTATGTATGTATGTTATTCCCCATGGAGTCGTCGTCGCTGTTCTTGTTGCTCCAGCGCCGAGGTGTTCTTGTGGTTGTTGGTTGTCGGTTGTCGGTTGTCTGGTGTCGTTGTGGCTCAGCAAAAGCTCAGCGGCCTTATGGCCATCAAAATGCGCGCTACATTGTCCCTCAACACGGGGCTCATCGTTCTCTGCTTCTCTAAGCTAACAGGTTGGGCATGTGCTTGTGAAAGCTGATAGAGATCCGCATAATATTCCATGCCAGCAATGCCCACGGCATTGAAGCTGGCGGACACTTCCGTGCAATCGATGATGGATGTCTTCAGGGGCGTGACAAGCAGTGTGGAGTAGTATGGCACCTTCTTGCCCTCGATTAGCTCCCGGATGAGCAGCACAGCGGTCCGGGAGCCGGCCAACAGATTCCAGCGTGACCAGCTGAAATTGTGGGACAGCGCCAATGTGGAGATGCACGCATAGGCATGCATCTCCATCACATAGTTCTTCTCGCATGAGCCCTCTGTATAGCAAAAGGCGTCCTCGTCCGGAAATATGTCCACGGCCGATAGTATGAGTGTTGCCTTCAGCTCCGCCAGAGACATTGTTTTTCCGAGCATGTCTGTGATGCCCTGCGTACTGCCGCCCTGGAAGTTGTGCACCGTGTAGCCGGCCTCATTGATGGTCATATCCAGGCTGATTAGCGAGGCGGTGAAACTAAAGAGAATGTTTCCCGGGCTGGCAAAGATAAGATAATATCAGTCAGTAACAGCCTTAAAACATACTCGTACAGTTACAATAATTCAGAAATTGTATAATAAAAGATAAACCAACTGCAATAAAGAAATTATTATTCTTCACGCAAGTGATGTAAAAGTAAAAAAAGTATGGAATTTATTCTACGATTGAGCATAAATTGAACTTCAATCTTTAACTCTTCAGTAAGAGTGTTCTTGGGTTTATTAAACGTTGGTCCAAAGATTTTAATGACCCCTAGACGATTATGTTATTGTATAGTTTTCTAGTGAGCTCTGTGCTGGAAAAATATTCATATGCTTGATGCCAGGATTGGATTGAATTGGTCGTAAGAGAATTTCTTTATTTTGCTCTTCTAAGTAGTCTAAACTGGGATCTGAATCTTCCTAAATACATATTTGTACCATCGATTTTTCTTCACAGAGTGTTTGTGGTTGATATAAAGTGTACACACTTCCATTTCGATTTTATTATTAAAATATTGAATTTAAAGCGTGACGATATACAATTATTTTAACTGCTGCTTGGATGGGGGTTTGATTCATGCGAAAGGCTTATTTTTTATAGTTATAACCTAATTTGCTCACGTTTATGTCTATTATACTAACAAATTAGTATTAATTGTGTTCAATAATGATATATCGTACAATGCATATTACAAGTATGCATATAGAATATTTTTATTAGAAAGTTTTTGTGAAACTTAGATCAGCTTTGATCAACATTTATTTTAAAAGTAATAACCGATTGAATTTCAATTGCTTGAATATTATTCATATTCATGTTTTTGGTTCAATGTACGTTGTTTACAAGTATATTTGATTTAAATACGAAATAATTAAACATTCAATTGAATATGAAAATATTTATTTTTACTATAATTTTTTTAACTGACTACTGGTTATTATTATCAAACCATTAGCTAATCGTTAGGTAGTTATTGGTGTTGGGAAAAGTATTCATTTGTAAGTATCTTTCACACAAACAAAGAACTTTCTGCCTCTTTTACTCAACAAACAACTGATTTAAGGCGAGTGTTATGCTTAAACTACTTATAGAACTGATCGAGTTTTCTCACCTATACTCAATCGAACTACCTTCCGGAGCTAGTTAGCTATTTAGCATTCCCCCATCGGGCCAGAGACTATAACAATAATATTTGATTTGAAAATAGCTTTCATTCTTACAATTTATTTTGTTACTCTGCTTGCAATTTTATTTCCATTTCAATTTTTAAACAAATTTGTTGTTGTTTTTAATTTATTTGAATTTTTTTTAATGTTTTTACTTATTTTTTGTGAGGGTTCTGTCTACTTTGTTCCCTAAATAGGATCCGTTAGTATATATTATTGTAACTTTATAGAATTGTTGCTTTTGCACTTACTTTTTCATATCAGGTCGCAGATCCCAGGTCTGATAGGGCATATTACTATATTTGTTTAATGCAAAGCCAAAAATGCCTGTGAATGTCGGGAATGGCATGAAAATTTGCCAACTTAAAAATTGGAAAACTCCTCACTCACCCAAGCGTCCAGTGCGAAACTGTATGGAAAGCTTGTCCTCATTGAACTTGGTATCGTGTACGTCGCGAGTGCTCCATTTTCCCTGTGTGATGGCTGCCTCGTTGCTCAGTTTCTGCTTTCGTCTGAAAAGTATGCAAAAGCCAAAAGGTCAACACACACACACTCACACGAATCGAGAACTGGTCCTCTCCAGGGCCCATGCAAACACTCAGTTGGGTAAATATCTGTACGCTGTCTGCACACCATCCGCCCATCGACTCACAGTCAATCAGGCAGGCCGAGCGCCATTGATCAATCAAATTAAAAGACAAATGAAATCAACGTGTGCCACACAAAAGGATGGCAGACGGTCCGAGTGGGTTGGTGAGTGCGCTCTAGTTGGCACTGGAGTGGCTTAAATATTAGAGATGTGCATCGTAGCCACATGATTAGGGAACTGGTTCATTTTCAACAAATTCGTTTTCGACTTCCATGACTTCCTTACAAAGCTACCATTACAGCTTTGCTTGTTATCCTATAGTATACTTAGTACAAATAAGTGAATCTGTTCCGGAGAGTTAATAATTTCATTAAAGTACTTATTGGTAAGATTCTTATGGGGGGCTCAAAAGAGCTAGCTCAACAAATATAGTGATGTTTAAGCTACCAACATACGGACAAATGAACATAACTATAGCGGCACATCTCGCGAAGGTAATCAGGAATGTACATATATGTATACCTAATTATGGGGTCTTTAAATATTTGCACACAAATTGAGTAAACCATTTTATCCTCAGGGGACGAATAAGTTCTTAAAAGTTGGCACATTTCTAGCTTAAACCCACCCATCGCTCTCTGTCGTTTCGCTTTGGCTGTGCTTGCTGAGAAACTCTTGCAGACTGGCACCCGCTGTCGACTCGCCGCCTCCTACTCCACCAGGTGCATCATGTAGAAAACCCGCAAAGCTATCTGCATCATCCTCATCATCATCATCGTCGTCCTGGTCGTCCTCGTCGCTACTGCTTGCAGCCCCTTTACCCTTCTCTTGCCTATCCTGTTGGGCACTCGAGGCTTCCGAGTCACGCACAAACGTAATGCCCGTGTAGTAGGCGAAGGCGGCAGCTGCTGCTGCGGGCTGCAGCACATCCACCAGCTCCTGACTAAGTGGCTTCATATCGTCTTCAGGGGACTGTTGTTCGCTGTCCCCATGCTGTGAGCCGTTTGGCGACAATTGCTCGGAGATTTGCTGCAGCACCTGCTCCTGTTGCTCGCGCGGTAGCTGCAGACGCCAGAGTCTATCCAAATCGTCGATTAGCTGCGAGAAGAGGTAGCAGTGCTTGAGGGTTGTGGGCGGAGCAGCAGCTAATGGCTCATCGGAGGTGCGGCGTGAGCTGCTGTCGCTGCTGGATCTCTGCAGTGATGCCGTGCTCGGTTGGCGTCGCGTTGGTTTGCTCAATTGGAGCACTTCGGTGGATGGCGCACTTTCCTGAAGCTGTCGAAATTTCAGCAGCTTTTCGAAGCTGAGCGGGGGAAAGAGCTCAGTAGGCTCGTCCATATCCATAAAGCTGGGTCCGATGCCAGCATCTAAGGCTGTTGCAGGCTGAGCACTGACTGTCCCATCCGCTGTCACATCCTGACCGATGCTCACGTGCTTCTGCCGTGCCAGAAACATGACTTTACGCACAGGTGCCTCCCTTCCCGCCTGTGGCGTATGCTGTTCGAGACGCACGCAAAAGCCCTGCGGCAGACGCGGCACCACGAAATCCTTCACTAGGCCATAGAGATCCACATCGGCGGGTATGGCCCACATATCGAAGTCGCTGATCTCGCGCATGGGCAGAGCGGCCAATGCGCCATCTGATTTTTGAGAGCTTTGCTCGGCCGGACGGATGCGAAGCTTGGCCGGACAGCGGGGTGAGTTTTTCAGCGGACTGGGATTGGCGTTGGTAGAAAGTGGTGTTGCCTCGGTAGGCGTAGCTGTGGTGGCAGCGGCGGGCGCTGTTGTTGTCGGCTTAACGCTATCCGCCAGCTCCATTTCCAGTGTCTCGATATGCGTCTCCCATCGGCAGGCGACGGGGGGCTCGAACCATATGACAGAGTCGGGTAGTCTGCGAACGATAGAAGCTGGAATTCAAAGCCGCGTAGAAGAACTAGAGCCACTATCTTACTGTAAAGTGACCAAAGCTAGTTTGTCTAGTGCCGCTTCGATCATTCGCATTTCGGCCTCGATCTCTTCGGGCAGCCGACGCACCCCCGGCAGTACCGGCGGAGGGGGCTTATATGTCTGGTAGTAATCCTTGTGGCACAGACTGTTGGCAGCAGCAACTGAAATACCGGAAACCTTCATAATTTAGCCAAACCGGAATGCTGTGAGGCACTCACTTGTTCGTATAAACGAGCGCGCATTCAACTGCTTATCCTGCTGAGGCGTCTCCAGAAAGTCAATGCAATAGACGCCCCCAATGATGCGATACTTACGCAGATTCACATCCGTTTCGAGCATGCCGTAGGCCTCGGGTCCAATAGCACGGCGCCGTGCCTTGTTCAACTCATCCTCATATTCGGCATAGAGTTTGTCAACGTCGTAGCTACGCTCGCGTGGTTGTTGGGAGCTGGCCGAGTGCTGATCCTGAGTCAGCTGCTCCAATTCGGAGAGCGGAATCTCGCGGGCACATTCGTCTAACATGGACTGCAGTATTTCCTTGCGTTTTCGCCACTCGCGCTTAGTTTGGCGTAGTATGTCTGCATTGCACGGACAATTGAAACAAACAAGAGATGTAGAAAAAAGGTAAAGGTGATCTATAGTACAATAAATAGGAAGAAACTTCAGCTTACTAGCATTTTCGGAGCGTGCATGCTTCAGCTGATAACTGCTGCAATAGTCACTAAAGTGGTCATAGTTCAGCCAGAGTCCTCGAAGCGCCGAGCTCTGCAGCTGTACGGTGGGCGGCAGGGAGATGAGCATCTCAATTGTGGGAAAATCAATCTCGTTGTGCGCCGAGGGCTCACCAATACGCGCTTTGGGATTTAAGGCACTGTAAATAAGTAACACAATGTATCTGGGCTGTCGTGACCACAAATGAGTTAAATGGCTTACATTTGAGCATCCTTGGAGAAGGTCCAAACGAAGCTTTGAAACACATCCGAGCTGTAAATGTGCTTTGCCACACCAGGCCGATCGATTCTGCAAGTTAGAAGTTCAGTAAGCTACACATTCTGCTTAACCATTGTTGTCGTCTAAACGTACTCCATGTCTCGATCAATGTGCGACATTGTCTTGTAGGTGAATTCATCCAGATGTTGTTTGAGAAAAACCCGTATCTCAGTCTTCAGTTTATCTAGATCTGCGCACACATGAGTCGGAAGTTGTCGCTCCTCCAGTGTCTCGTCTAGTTCGTTCAGTATCTATGTATTGATAATGAATATTTGAGATGATTTGAGAATTATGCGTTCACAATAACACACACTTAATTAACGTAATGCCTAAAAACATTTGTAAAGCTAACAAACTTTGTTAAACAAAGACATTCTTCACACAAAAAATACAAAATGAATTTTGGAAGCTATATTTTGGAAGCTATATTGTTATTATTCTCTCGGCGAAGTTTGGATCATTCTTAATGCAATATCTGCATATTTTATTTTAAAAGCATTGAGATTTATTTCCTAAAATCACATTAATGTGAAACATAAAAAAATATAAATTGTTTGAGACTTTCTTTGCTGCCAAAATTTGTTAACTTAATTTTGAGGCAATACGGTAAAAACATTTGTAAAGCTGACAAAGACAAAGACATTCTACACACAAGAAATACAAAAAGAAGTGAAGCTTGGATCATTCAGAATGCAATATCTGCATATTGTTTTTAAATCATTGCGATTTATTTTCTAAAATCACATTAATGTGAAACATAAAAATGTATAAATTGTTTGAGAATCTCTTTACTGCCAAAATTTGTTGTCAACTTACACCCAACACCTCCTTAATGCGTTGCGCATAGACATCGCCCAGTCGACCTTGCTGCTGGCGCAATGAGATTCGCGTGAGGTCCGGAACGTTCGCGTCTTGCGTGAGCAGTGTGCGCTCATCGGTTCGCAGCAGCCAGTTGCGTGACTCCAACTGGCGCTTGGCAATATCGGCGTGCCATTGGTGTATGTATTTGCGCAAATCGCTGGGACTGCTGGAGTTGGGCAGGCCATTGCAGCGCATAAACTTCTGCCAGTCCCGCTCGTGGCGCTCACCCGCCTTTATGGCCTCGATGGCGGTGCGGACGGCGTCGAAAAATTGCATGCTATTGCGCAACTGTGAACGACGCAAGCGGTTCTCAGCCACCTCTTGTTGCTGTCGATGCTTGGCCTGTTCCATTTCGAGCTTCTTACGCTGACGTGCCTCCTCCAGCTTCTTGAGTCTTGAGTGTTGCATTAATGTTTTATTTAATTTGAATAGATTGGGTGCATGTTAATGTTCTGGTTGGATGTACTCATAGTTTGTTAGCTTACCCACTTCTCTTTTTCCATTTCGATGCGCAGCAGCTCGGCCTGCTCGGCCTCGAGACGTGCCTTCTCCTTTTTCGAGAGCTTCTTCTTGGGTGGCTAATGAAATGTTCGCAATTTGCATTATTACCCGTGTTATTATTGTGTTTGTTGTGCGAGTGAATTTCCTAGACCACAGCTGCATTTGCTTGCTTACCATGGCTTGCTATTTCTGCCGAACGTTGCTGTTGCGTTCTGTTTCCGCTTCCGTTCTAAATTGCCACGCGACGTAGCTGCTCGTAATTGGCCCAAATGGAAGCGTCGGCTGGCTTGTTGCTGTTACAGTTACTGTTTGCTTATTGATCCAGCGGCTCCTATGGCAACTGTTGTTGTTGTTGCTGTTGCTGCTGCTGCTGCTGCTGCTGCTGCTGCTGCTGCTGTGCGGCAAATTAACCAAAGGCCGCACTCTGAGCCAACCAATTGCCTCTTCACAGTTCATTTTGGCAGCCGCAGTGCGGCTCAAACTTTTATTACATTTTTGCTGCGGCGCATGGCCTGGCTAAGCTCTGTGCGTAAGCTGTTTTACGTTGCCCAGGCAACAACGACAAAAAACGACAACGACAACTACAACAATAAGAAAAGCAATAGCAGCACCCAGCGTGGGCAGCCACGCTGTTGAAAATTGCCCTGCCAGCTCAAGCGCTCAAGTGCCCAAGACCCCAAGTCATCTGAAAGTCAGCGGTAATCCTTTGGCACCACAAACTAAGCCAGCCCCAGCACCAGCACCAGTACCGGGCTCTGAGTTAGCTTTTACCTACGCAGCCACGTAATACGCTTGTAGGTCAGGGGCGAAGAATTCCAACAATGTCATAATTTTTTGAATTAAATATTCAAACAAAAGCCAAGCGATTAGCGCACAGTGTGTGGCTGGCTTGTCAAGTCACTGTGCTGTAACTTCGGTGCTCCATCTTCATCTCCTTCCACCTTTACCTTCATCTCTATCTCAATCCCAATCTCCATCTCTATTTCTATCTCCAGTTTCCAGCTCACTCAACGTTGTGCTGTTCACGTTGCGTATACGACACGTTGTGCATCGTAAAGATTTATAAGAGTTTTACGCAAAATTTCCAACACCAAGTTGGTTCGTGACTGTTTGCCTGCTCAGGCAAAAGACGTTATTGGCCCTCATACCATAGAGAATGTCAACGCTTCAACGCCATGTTCGCCGCACAGTGGTCAAATTTTATTATCTATTTGGGTTACAATGGAATTCATGATGTACTTCAATGTGCTTTCTATGCCTGATATTTCTGGGAAACTCTAGAGACTTGATTTCTTGATCAATTACAATTTTTTGGGCAAGCCCTTTATGATTTTCCACCCAGTGTGTGCTTTATTAAAAATTTGCTTGATTGTAAAGTAAACTCAGCATTAAAATTTGCATAAACACAAGTACTTATTCACCACAAAAAGCAAGTAATATTTAGATTAGCTTTGCAGCAGCCTGTTAAAATTTGGAATTTAATAAAATATTTAAACACATACAGAGTGACTTGCCAAATAAAAATACATGTAAGCCAATATATTAATTTAAATATTGTAGTTACAACGAACTACACATGCAGGCACTTATAAATCATTCGGCACGTTGACTATTTTAATTGATAATTTTATTAAATCCCATTTAAGCTGAACTGCAAATTATTTTGATTTAATGTTTATAATTTAAATCATATTTGGTGCATTTTCTGAATTATTGCAAGGCTAAATTTGTATTTAAGGCCTTGAGTTTAACTATTTGTTGACTGCACTTACAACACACATACATGCAACCCGACGACTGTTAATTATATTTACTTAAATGTATGTAAAGTGCAATTATTCAAATAAATGTCGACTGCTCAGGAACAGTCTGCATGTTGGCCAGCAGGAAAATCGACAAAAAAATAATATTAGTAGCAATAATTTATTAACCGATCATTTCTATTGAAGTTGTACAAAATAATGGGGCTTTAATTCAATGGTTAATTCTTTATTCTGCATACTTATATATACAAGTATACGAGTATTTAAAAATTAGAAATGCAAATAAACATAAATATCTTTTCTTTATGTTGCAAGGTAAATTGATAGATTTTGGATATATTTGTTAGCGTTGAGGGACAAATGCAAAAATACAAAATTTAAATTTAAGTCCAATATAAGTATAATACTTGTATACAAGCATAAATATTCAACATAACAATTTTATGATAACACCATTAAATGCAATAGAAAAATGTTTCATTAATATAATTTATCTAACCCTTTTGAGATATACATATGAATAGCAAAAGCTTTTGTTGTCCCCAAATAAATGTTCCTAAACACTTAAAGCATTATTCATTGATAAATAAAAGCCAAAAATGTATAAAAAACTTTCTTATAATAAACAATTTTTGTAAATATTCAGATTAATGTTTCTGTTATATTTATAACATCGATGTGCATTTTGAGCTAGCATTTAAAGTATGGTTTTTTAAAAATTTAATTAAGTGCGACGCTTAAAAGCTATAGATTTGTATACAGAGAGACAGGCAAACGGACAGATGATTGACGAAGAGGGCTCCTCGTCTCATCATGCCATATATTCGCATATATATGTACCTATCACAGGGTATAACCATGCTTATTATAACATTACTAACTATCTACGACAATGATTATGTTGTGAACCAAAAGGCTGGCTGATTGCTAAGTTTTAATAATTACCGGTGAATAATTATTATTTTTGGTGAGTGTAGGCGTTCGTGCTAATGCTATTGTGCAACGTGAAGAGGTATTAGCTTTTTTATCTATATTTTTTTTAGGTTGCGAATTGGCCTGCAGCTTAGGCCATAACACAACAGTTTCACAGTTATATAAGTTACCATTCTTACAGAACTTTATGACTTCAATTAATTTTAAGCGTTCAGGAAAGAACTCAAATTCCTGCTAGCTCGTTCAGCTATACCAGGCCCGCACAGTATTAGTAAACATTAAACGTGATTCATTTAAATATTAAAGAGTAATGTTGCAAAGCGTTTCTCGCTTCATATTTAATCACAAAATAACATAAATATAATAAACGTTGAATGTTTACTTTTCGTTTCAATATTTTATTTGCAGCGTTTACTTTTCGACACATTGTGCGCGGTCTAATTTAAACTTTCTTTGTTGCTTGTTGACTTTTTCCTCTTCTTGTTTTGGTTTATTTTCAGTGTGTGTGTGTGTGTGTTTGTGTATGTGTGTGTGTGGCAGGTGACAACGCTGCTTAATTACCTGGCAGTTTTAATGCCAGCCAAATTGTGTTGCCTGCTTTTGGGCGTCGCCGCCTCGCTAATGTTTTCATTTGCGCAACCCTCGTCGTCGTCCTCCCCCCGCTCGGCACCCACACCAACTAATTGCCATAAGCACGCGGCTTATTAATTTAATGAGCAACATTTTAAGGCGATGCAAAATACAGCTAATGTTGAGCTGAATTGGATCTACGGTTCTGGGCAGCTGCAGCTGCAACTTGCAACCACGTGCGGTTAGTTTAAGCGCCAACGGAGAGAGAGAGAGAGAAGGCGACGAAGAGGGCGAGAGAGGGGTGCAAAAAAACTTTCGCTGCTACAGAGTGCTATAAAAATGGCAGCCAAAGGGGAGAGCCAGAGGTCAAAAATGTTATTTATTACAGAGACGCGCACCACAGGCTGCCACAGGCAGCATCGTGCAGCTCCAGCATGCAGTTCCATGCAGCTCAGGCAGATTGGACAGCTCGGGATACTTGGGGAGCTCATAAGGCCGTGACCATCCATGGCTGCCTGATATATGGCAACAACGCTTAATCCTTTCTGTAAGCTGTGCTCGTGCTCGTAGTCGGGCTCGTGCAACGCCCGCAGCTTGTTTTATGTAATGCGATATATTCTGTTATAAAAATAAATATTTGTATTATTTATGCTTTGCCTGCTGCTACTGCTACTGCTGCTGCTGCTGTTGCTCCTGATGCCAATGCCTGGCCAATGAAGCTGCACGCGCAATTAGCCCTCGAACGGCTGGTGTCCATTGATGCCATTTTTTGAGGGGAACTAGAGATAGAGAGAGGGTGTGTGTGTGTGTGTGTGTGTGGAAAAGCAAATGTAACGACTAACAAGCTGTGTAAGGCAAGGCAAAGCTGTTCGAGCGCAAGCAGCTATACAATAAAAATTTATCATACGCACCGTTGACGTTGACAGATCGCTCAGTTGAAGCGGCGGCGACAGACGACAAACGACAACAGTTACCAGGCCACTGCTGCTGTTGACGAGCACAGGCGACATGAAATGCCGGTCTAACGAACGAACGGGCGGACAAGGAGCTGTGTCTGGCAACTGTAGCTGTATGTGTGTGTGAGTGTGTGAGTGTGCTTGCTTGCTTGGCTGACTGCCTGTGTGACACGCCTGGGCGCATTCTGCAATATGACAAAAATTGTGAATGCGTTGCTTGCACTAAGCAGCAGAGTAAAGCAGAGCCAGAGAGTGAAAAAGCAGCCGGAACATTCTGAATATACTCAGCGAAAAAATGGGGGGATCAGCTTGCAGCTTAATATCAGTGGCAAGCATCAAAAAAAGAAAAAGGAATACAAATCAGACAATTTACTTTGAAAATTGGAAGTGTACGTGCTTCGCAATTTGTAATGCGCCAAATTTTGTTTACTTCGTCTAATATAATATATTGCGGAGCACAAATTAATTATTAGTATGAAAAATGCTATAATATTACTTGTATTTTTTTCTCTTTGAAATTTGAGGTTAAAATTAAATCAAATATTACAAAACGTTCATTCATTTTTAAGAGCAATCGTGAACAATGATTTGGATAAGCTTAGAGTTTCCTTTGTGTGAGCTAGAATGTGAATTACAAAGAAACTCTATAAAAGTGTTAGCGCACCGATGTACTTGTATATAGAAGCTGAAACTGCATAGAAATATTTTTATACTCTGTACATGAAATGTACAGAAGTATATTAGGTTTGCGGGAGCTGAAAAATGTAACAGGCAGAAGGAGGCGTGGCAGACCCCACAAAGTATATATATTCTTGATCAGCATGACGAGACGAGTCGATCTAGCCCTGTCTGTCTGTCTGTCTGTCTGTCCGTCTGTCCGTCTGTCAGTCTGTCCGTCTGTCCGTCCGTATGAACACCTGGATCTCAGAGACTATAAGAGATAGAGACACCAAATTTTGCACAAAGATGCGTTATGTGTGTATTCTATACGAGTTTGTTTTATTTTTTTGATTTTCCCCCCCACTTCCCCCCTATGGGGGTTTTCCCGATTTTACATTCGTATAATCGCCTATATCTCGGAGACTATAAGACCTAGGAACACCAAATTTTAGTCCCAGATGCCTTGTGTGAATACGCAGAAAATTTATATTTTGGAATTTCCCTCCCTCCCCCCTCTACCCCGCAAATCGTAACTCCCGTAATTCTTGGAATTTCGAACTAAAATTTTGGAAATATACCAAGTTTCACTATGATAGACCGATTTAACAAGAAGTTATAGCCATAAATATATTTGCTGCTGCAGCGCTGCTCAAGCGCTGCCCGCGGCTGTTGTTGAAAAAAAAAAAATTTTATCAAATTGTTATGAGAAGGCAAAAAAATAATAATGTTGCGGATGCACAGTGCCTGGTGAAGGAGAGACCCAAACTAATCGTTAATAAATAAACAAATACGACGAATACAAAAATAAATATAAAAAATTAATTACATTCTAAAAAAACAAACTTGAATATTTAACAAAGAAAAAAATAAGGCGAAAAAATTGAAACGATGCGCAAGCCATGACGGCCTGCAAACAAATGAAATGAATTTTTATTTTGGATGCCTTGTTCTGAAAACTCACAGCCTACATGATTTGTACCTTAAACTTTTTTTTAATTTTTGATAAAAAAGGTGGCTAGCTCCGTTTATCTGCAGTTTCGTCTGCAATCGAGTTGTTAGCTCTGCTGTTCACAACAGCTGTTTCTGTTTTGCAATCTGTCGACCGCCTGTATCTGTAGTTACCATTTTAAAGTATTGGAGCTATAAAGATTTTGAGATTATAAAGCCATGAAGAAAAGTTGCCATTGAAGCAATAGACTTTTATGAAAAAATATGTGTTGGCTACTATAGTTTTAAAAAAAGGTGGTATTTCTTAATATAAATTAAATCAGTTAATTAATTAAATATTTAGATACGTTGTAGTAAACAGAAAGTTTTACGAGTGATAATTACTTGGGAATATGGAAGATTAATAAAATAATAAAATACTTGAAAATAATTTGTTTGGAAACTACGCCAAGTCTATGATACTTTTAACTGTTCCACCGTTCCTCCACTGTCACTAAGATGAACGATTTAGAAGGGAATAAAAGGTAGCACCAGTCGTTAAAACGGGCAATTGTATAGCAGACCAGTCAGGAACCTTTCACAAGAGCGTCCCATCCGACGTCTTGAAAGATAACAACTGACGGATAAGCTATTAATGCCTTTTCCAACTTTTCTTACCCAAACTTAAATCATTACACGAGCACAAATCTTGCAATCTGTTATACTTTTTTTTTATGTTTGGTTTCTTTTTATAAAATAAATGCTTCAGTCGAACAAGCCGGACTGTGAAATATCCTGTACGCAAGCACACTTCTAGTGCTGAGCTGTATGCGTCAAGCAGAAGCAAAAATAAGAATATAAATGAACCCCTTTCTGCAGTTTGTGGACGTAGGACTGGAGTGGTATTGTTTCGCTGATATGTTTTCTTAGAATTTGAACGAAAAGTAGAGAATAATCAGTATATGAACTACGTGACTTATGTAGAATTGAAATTCGGAGATTCAATTTTTCTCGTCCCTTTGTACACTTCAAGTACAATGCATGAAAAGTTTCTTAATGCCCGCTTAGAAATGGTCTCCCCGTTTTTTTTAAGATTGAAGCTAACGATAGGTTTAATAGTAACGTCTATTTTTAGTAATCTTTGTCGGCTGCCTAAGCCTTTGGACTTATTAAATAAATAAAAGCAACATATATAATATATTTTGAGTCAGACTATTGCGCAATGTGGGGCCAGAGGTTAGATATACATCAGAAAAAGGATCAGCAAAATGTGAAAACTATATGTTAACATTTAAACTGCACTACATTAAATTTTCTCTTTGTACCCTCGTATATTTTGTACCTTGCTCGTAACAATGTTGGCCATAGCCCCAAGTTTTATGTCGTATTCGTATAAATTCCTTTTTCACTAAAACTAGCAGATTTAAAGCTTTTTGTTCTTGTACAATTGGGTTTTTTTTTTTTTTTTTTTCTTAAGCAGCAATGGTTTTACGTGAATTCATTTTGTTGCCATCACAATTCAGCTAAGGCACTATGAATTTTGTAAATATATGTGATATTTAAATGATAAGCATTAGCTTAGTTCTTGTGGGAGATATAGTCAAGTGCTTGTGGGTCAAATATTATAACCAAAAACTTATCCTAAACTACGAAGCTATATTTTTATCCCATTCTAAAAAGCATTAAATTTTTCAATAAACGCATTGCCAGTTTAATTCCTTTCACAAATAAGTACAGTCCAATTGAATTCGAGACAAATTTCGATTTTACTTGCATTTCGGAATATACATACAAGTAGGTCCTTCCGCCTTTCCTGGGTTTAGTATTTTTCCTTCTCCCAATTAACTTACTCGCTAACAAATTGTGTAGGAACTATATGTTTTCACCTTTTTATTCAAATTTAGTTTAGATTCGTAGATCCATTGATTTATTGTAGCAAATACTGATGCAAAATCAATGACTTTTTCAGAAATCAAGCTGATAGGATTTCAGAAAATTGTTGCAACTATAGATAGCTTTGATTAATTTCTTCGAGTGTATGTTTGTGTGAGGGTAGCAGTTGCCATGGTCACACTTACACACTTGCATTTTTCATTTCGCTTCGCCTCGTATTCCCCGCTCTTCTATTTATTCGCTCATTTTTTCAGCTGTTTGACAAATTGTGTGTTTGATGTACAGATTGCACAAAGTGCTCGACGGGCAATATTAAGAGTGGCCGCAAAAAACGAAGACCAAATATGCTGGCTGCAGTTAATCGGGAATCCAGAATTTATTGGAGGGCAATCAAACGCTTTAACAAGTAGACGTTGTAGAGCCAGCAGTATGGCTAGCCTAGTAATTAATGTCAGCTTATTTATGCATATTATATACATAGACAAGTAGGTGGCGATGTAAGTGTGTGTGCGCAAGTGCTGTGCTTGCTAAAAAGTCAAGTGTTGACATTGTTGTTGTTGCCGAGCATCAAGGACTGTGGCCTGATGTCAATGAAGATGCCTGTGACAGCGTTAACTCAATTTTATAATTACAATGAGCTTATATGTCGCCCAGCTACATGGTCATATTTCTCTCTTAAACTGTCTATGTATGCGGGTATGTGTATGTGTGTACATGTGTATATGTGTGTTTGCTGGCCATGACGTTCATTGGATCTCAAATTATGTTATTATGTATTAAGTGGTTGAAACATGAGCGCAGCCATGACGAAGACAAAACGAACGTTAGGAAAAGCCTTAAGAAATGAAATTTGCCAATCATCTTGCATTACATATGTATGTATACTATATGTATAATGATATGTATAATAAAGCATGATAAATGACGTGCATCAAATGTTTAAAAGCATTCATAAGCTGCTCAGTGGCTGAAAAGATGACAGACTAGAGATGATATCATGCAAGTGTAAAAAATGTGATGACACAGAAAATTAATTCTGTTAAAACAGAAGTTCTTGTGCACCACCCGAAAGTAAGTGCCAAGCAATTTGGCTTAAGCCTAGACATACTATACTCCTACTCCTACTCCAACTCCTACTAGACAAGTTACTCTAAAAACATAATGCTTAGAAATATGCCATTTACTAAATAAATAATTGAATCTACGTGCTAAGATTAAGATTAGAAAACGTAACAGATTAAATATTTTGATTGTTACAAATGTAGTACTCATGCAACAGTTGATGATTTATTGTATATTTTGTTATTTACTAATAATTACATTGATTTATTTATTTCTTTCTATTTGCAGCTGTTAATCATACGGAAAACTTCGTTCATATCTCCCAGAAGCAATCGAGCAAAACAAAAAGCAAATGCAAAGAGCCATCGTTAGAGTTGCCACTAAAAACATATAAATTAATTTTTTTATATGTACGATAAATAATAGCAATAATAACGGATTAATAATTTCATCTTGTGTGCAGCAGAAGCGGCTGATACAATTTTTAGCTAGATACATAACTTAAAATATAC